TCTCTCTCTCTCTCTCTCTCTCTCTCTCTCTCAGAATGATGGCTCTGGGTAGAGCTTTCGCTACGGTTTTCTGCTTAATTCAAGCTGTTTCTGGAGAAAGTGGCAATGCCCAGGATGGTGAGTCATTTCTAAGTCCTTTTTTAAAGGATTTCAGATTACCTTTAGCATATATGATCAAGTTACCCAGTTCTCTAGCAGGCTGGGGAGCTGGGCAGCAAGAATTTAGCACAAGTTAGGTTGTTTTGTGTGTATTAATCACCAGGACAGAAGGAATGAGGATGATACTGCAGATGGCTTGTAACTCACAAGAACTGTCAAGGAGCAATGAGTTTCATTCAAAGTCTGTCTCATAAATGTGGATGAATGTTTGTGCTCTCAGAAAAGAAACCTCGTATCAGTTCTCTGTTGGGGCTTGTTGGACAATCTCTTCCAAAATTGCACCTGCCTGAAAATCAAGCCATCATTGTTTTGTTTAACTATTTATTGGTATTCTGAAACCCTAGATATCCATGATAACTTAATAGCTAGAAGCAATAGGTTTGTGCATTCACCAGAACTCTATTTCTAGTGTCTAGAGCGTAGAAGTTACTTAATAATGTATTTCTTCAAAATGCTTTAGCTTTGGCAGATTCAGGTTAAATTGCTGATGAATAATTCAGTAGTGGGCTGGGGAAAGTGGCTTCTTCGAAACACACAGTGTTGCTTATATATTCAGAGACTTTAACATATGATCATCATAATTCTCTTCAGAATCCATAAAATACTTAGATCTTGACTGCTGCAGACTGTGCATTCTAATTACAAGACTGTGCTCAAAAGTCTCTGGGAAACACAAGGGCTGCATGGAATGTGAATCTCCCACTTTTTTCTACAAATTAATTAAAAACTGTTTTCATACACACAAACACACAGCATTAAAAAGGGGAGATATATATATATATACATATGTATGCCTGACCTAAATGTGTATTCCTAAACTGGGTGCAGTAGCACATCCCTGTAATCCCGAAGCTTAGAAGGCTGAGACAGGAAGATCATGAGTTTCAGACCAGCCTAAACTAAGCTACAGGATGAAAGCTTGTCTCTAAATACATATGTGATTTTCTTTATCAATAATATCGAGCCTAGTGACTCGGCTTAGCTCTTTAGTCAATTTCCCTTAGGGATGGTTCCTAAGGTTAGGTATTTGTGTGACTTTACTTTGTGATCCGCAAGGATGGAAACCCTTGCCTTTTCTTACGTAGAGAACCTTTAGAGGAGTTGCACTTTGCAGCATGACAGAGCATGAGTCACTTTGTGAGGGAGAGTCATTATCTCATGCTAAATGTGTGCAAATACATGGCAGGAAGCTTGAGAACCTTATAGCTGTTTGGTGCAATCCTTTACCATTATTCTGTCCTGTTGGCCATATTATTTCTTTAAAAAAAAAAAGTAAAAAATTCTTGCTGTAAACTGGATTTTTGCTTCAGTTTTTGAAATTTTGGAATGTTTTCAGACTGATGAGCATAGCCACTCATATGTGTCACATATCCATGTCAAGATATCTCCCACTCTGTGCTCAAAGCAATCTGCTACTGTTGGTTTAAAGACAAAGTTAGTTTTCTAATAATTAAAGGATGGTCAAATCAAGCAAAGGAAACCTCAAAATCTCTGACAGTTCAAGCTCTTCATCAAGAAATCTCTCTGTGAGAAGTCCTCTAAATGACACTGCCCTGTTTATAATATGTATTCCAAACCTTTTAAATTTTTTTACTTAGAATTTGTATTTAATGCTTAGGTGCTTCCTGTTGAACATTGGATGCATTAACTCCGTGTTCCACATAATGACAAAACCACAGTAAGAATAAAAGCTTCCGTTGACTCACTACAACTTTTTTTCAAAAGAACTCCAAATGTTGCATATCTATTTGCATTAATTATAACTCACGTCTTATCTTTCTTTTTTTTCTTTTTTTTTTTTCCCTCTGTGTAGCTCTGGCTGTCCTGGAACTCACTCTGCATACCAGGTTGACCTCGAACTCAGAAATCTGCCTGCCTCTACATCTTACCTTTCATACTGACTTCTCCAAGACTCATAGGAGAGCTCCCACCCTTACTGAGAACTTACTATGATCTGAAGGAAACCTCTGTGCAGATCTATCCAATGGCTTCTATAGTGTGCGTGTGTGCATATGAATAGGGGCTTTGGGTGTCTGTGTATGCAGTAAGGGAGCCCAGCTACAAAGTTAGGACAGCAAAGATCAGCATGCACATCCTCTGTATTTGCTCTCAGCTAAGAGTTCTTCAGCTCACATATGTATGCAGGTGGCATACACTCCCACAGTGGCATGTGACTTTCCCCTATTTTTTATGGGAATGTTCTTGGTTACAGAGCAATTGTAACAAAACCTGCTAAAGAGTCAATGGATGGCTCATTCAGACACAGCAGCTTTGATTGCAGGAAACAGGGCACAATCAGCTAGTTGCCCGTTGTGTGAGATAACTTGAGACATACTTTGTCAGCCTGGGTGACTGGAGTGTGTAGAGGTCCTCTCTTCAGCTGGTACCTCATCTACATGAAGTGTGCTTTCTCTGTCTCGTGCCATCGATGGACTTGTTATGTAATTAAGATAATCCACAGAATGTCTAAATCTAAACAGTAAGTCGTATCTATTACAGAGAGTTGTTGAAAGGCACAAGCAAAGCACCAGACTACTAGTATGAGAGCCGAGAGCTGCCATGGAAGGGCAGGCAACAACTTACACCACACATAAAGAAACTTGCTGAGGTTCTACCTGTGACATGCTAGGCTCTGAGAATGCCTAGAAAGTTAAATTCCTGCAGCTGTGAACAGCGACCCCAGTCTGTATCTAGGTGAGCTCTAAGATCTATTCCTTAGTACAGTCACTTACCTGGTTGACCTGTTCACAACCAATTATATTAACCTTTCCACCAACGTTTGGGGATCATTAAATGAAGAGAATGCAATTGAAACTGCGCATAGCTGCTAAGCCACTCATCTGGGGCCATTGTTAGCACATCCTGTTCCCATATGAAAACCAGAAAAGTATAAAGTTTCTATTTTGGGTGAGATTAAACATCTGGAAGCTGTCAGAGGCTCCTCATGGTCCATCATCATGATATAAACCTCCAATTACTCTAATTTTTCCTTGGCCTTATTGAAATGTATTTACTGGAAGATTTTTCTGCCTTTATTCTGCTATTAAATATAATTATACATACATAGTGTATATATGTATATTGCACACTTCATGTATACATTTGTGTGTATTTTATGTACATATAAACACACAAATACCTATTTAATCATAGGCTCTACAAGTAAGCTCAGGAAATCAAATAATACCTTTGACAAACTTCAGTTCCCAAAAATGACTACACATACAAAAAAAAAAAATCCAATTCCCACTTTCTTTGAGAATATTATTGATATATATAGAATAAACAGTACCTAAAAAAAAGTCTAATCATGTAAGCTAAAATGTTTCATCCTTGGAGTTTATTATTTTATAGTTGCCTCAGTAGGTCACTTAAGATAAGATGCTCTTTGTTGCCACAGAATAGAGCCATCAATATTATTAGTAAGGTATGATGCCCTTTTAGGGAACAATAAGCAATCCCATAAAAATGTGAACTTGGAACCAAAATATTTATTATCATTTTTCATTTGAAAAGAAATTTGAAAGGAAACACAGGAAGACCAGCAGAAAAAAAAAACAAAATTGGATTAGGGGGCATACAAATGAAATATAAGATCTCTTATCTGAAATGTGTAAACACTTCAGTGTAAAAAAGATAATTTCAACACTTTAAAGTCTCATTGGGGATTCCTTTATTAACATTTAGCACCTTCTACATGTGTGAGGAATTGCCTTCCCTGAACATGTTAGCTCACCTGGATGAAGTGGAGAATATAACCTCAAATAAATACTTTCTAGCTATAGTTTTAAAGTGTAGTAAAGGAATTCTGAAATAAACAAGGAAAGGGGTTTATCCATGCCCCTTATAATTTTCCAACATACTAGTCCAATGGTGGAACTGTTTAGTTGTACCTGGAACTTATGCTACCACTATGACAAAATTTTTTCAGTTAGAACATTCTGTAAACTGCACCTGCACATTTGGTTTTGCATGTGTGTTTCTGATGTGTGTTTGTGTGTGTGTGAGAGAGAGAGACAGAGACAGAGACAGACAAAGAGAGACAGAGACACAAAGACAGAGACAGACAGAGACAGAGAGACAGAGAAAGCACATTGAAACATTTTCTCTGTCCTTAGAATTTCTTCCTTTAGATAAATATATATATATATATATGTATATGTATATATATGTGTGTGTGTGTGTGTACATGTATGTGTATATATATGTGTATATATATATACATGTATGTATGTATGTAGTTCCTCCTTCATGTCTGTCACACAGGTGACATTTTATTAAAGGGTATCAGATTTTTGTCCCTTAAAAGCTGTGCTTTGCTCTTTGCAGGAGACCTAGAAGATGCAGAACTGGACGATCACTCCTTCTGGTGCTACAGCCAGCTGGAAGTGGATGGAAATCAGCATTCACTGACTTGTGGCTTTAATGACTCAGACATCAACACCACTAACCTGGAATTTGAAATATGGTGAGAAAGATAGTTTCCATGGTGCTTAGGAATCCATCTTCTGACTTTCTCTATGTGTTCTTTTCAGGACCTGCAAAGAAAGGAGTCTGTCCTAAGTATCAAATGCTGAAATTTACTAGGTTCTCAAAACTTTCTGAAATAATTTGTTCCTTGCCAGAAATTAAAGTGAGGCAACTCTCACTTCATTTGTTAGTTCCCAGGGACACATACAAGTGGTGTTGTTTTTTTTTTTTTTTTTTTTTTGATCTTGGAGATTCTACATCCCTCCATATTCATAGCAATCTAAATAAATGCTGCTTCTCCTAGGACATTCCCTTAAGGCACTATACTATTTTCAAATTCTATTATGTAGTGTAATTGCCTGGCTTCCAGCCCCAATGCCAATGCTTAATAACTTTTTGATTTGCATCAACTTATGTAACATGTATTCTTTAGTTTCTTCATTTAATATAATGTATAACTAGATCTCACAAGAAGGTTATGGTGATTAAAAATTTGATATATGTAAAGAGCTCAAATAAACATCTAATATTTAATTAAGTGATAAGTCTATGAATATATATCTAAAATATATATCTAAAACACCTACCCTGTTGAAACAGATTAAGTCCATACAATCTAGTCAATTGAAAATTTCCAGTAATCCATAGGACCAAATTGATTCTTGGTTTCATACGGCCCTGGAGGAAATTAAAGGGCAAGGGAAGCATTAGGTCTGAAAGTTGATAAAGAACTGAGGGAGTTGTACCTTTTTCCTTCCCCACCAGCCATCGCTTGTTGTCAAGGGTTATTATCTCTGATGACTTGAAAAAAGTACTCTAATATGAAATTCTGACTTGTGGCTATTTCTAAATTCATATCAGATGACCTCATTTTTGCAAGTTTCCATATAAGGAAAGTATGTCGAGGTCTGCAGTAGTAAAAGAGGACTTTCTTAAGTTCCAAGAGCACTAAGGAAGTCCTTTGCCACCTACAACCCAGATAAGCTGTAAATTCTCACTTTCCTGAATCTATAGCAGTTTCCTGAATCTATGCACAACTTTTTCCTGAAGTCATTGTAGGAACAACATCTTGGAGTTGAATGTCACAGAATAACCTCAGTCTGTCTTTGTTATTGTATTTTTATAACACACTTCCTATGGAGAACAAAAGCATAAATATCCAAGGTCTGGAGACAAGCCTCAGTCAGTAGATTTCTTGTTACACAAGCCAGTGAGCCTGAGTTGAGATGTCTAGAATCTATGTAAAACCTGAGTGTGGTGTCTGTAACCCTACCCCTGAGCTATGCTGCACACAAAGAGGTATAAAGATAGGTGGATTCATGAGCTTTACTGGCTGGTCAAGCTAGTCCAGTCAGTGAGCTCCAGGTTCATTGAGAGACCCTGTTTAAGTTAGTATAGAGTGAAGAATGATAGAGGAAGACCCAAGACATTGGCCACTGTCCTCCAAATGTGTGTGCACACAGGCACACAGGCACACAGGCACACAGGCACACAGGCACACAGGCACACAGGCACACACACACACACACACACACACACACACACACTGGACATACATACATGCCCCATACTCAAACCAAAACAGAATACAAATGTCAAGAGTCGTTCCTACAACTCGATAGATCAGATAGTTAACTCATCTAAACAATGCTCTCAGTTTTTATAGGAAAAAAATACCCCTTCACACAGAGGTTGACTCTAGGTTTCCCCACCCAGATCTTGGTGAGCTGTGGTGAACGCTGTTGTGTCACTTGACCAAGCCACAGCTGACCTTTGTGTCCACTTTCATTCACATATTCAGTCATGTTCTTGCCCACTGTAACAAACTTCCCTTTACTATTTTCAGTTTCTCTGACGTATATTAGTCTCTCCAGAACAGCATCATGTTATGCTTTCCAGTTAGACAGATATTTCTGTTTAGAAAGCCTGCCTTAATGTGCATGTGTGCGTATGTGTGTGTGTGTGTGTGTGTGTGCCTTAAGCCATACATAAGGTATCCAAAGTGGAAAACAGTTAAAGAAAAGACTTCTAAATCACCAATATTTCCACGAGGCATTTACACTCTCAGTGAGATATTCATGTACCTTCTAGGTTGAGAAGATGGTACCTGAAGAGTTCTGAATTTGTGTGTTTCTTCTTCAAAAGAGTACTAGCTATTGTAGACCATAGATTTTCTTTTAATATAAATGTATGAAGTAGAAGTTGGGATTTGCTGAAGTTGTTTACACAGGTGATCACTGGTAAATGCTAGGTTCCCTCTCTCAGAACGTGGTAAATTTAACATCTGTCCTAGATCCAGTTGCCAATATCTGAACAAGAAATGTATTGTTTGTTTGTTTGTTTGTTTTTCAGTTAATTGATCTTCAGGGAGGGATCAGGTCAACACAGATCCCAGATATGAATTACTTGAATACCAATGAACCAGTTCACAATGACAGATATAATTATTATGAAGATACTTGTTATGGGCTCTGGTCCTTTAGGAATTAGTGGGGAAAGTGTAAAGAGGGTGGAAAATTCCAGCAGACTATATACCAGAATAACCCATAATTACCTGGGGGAGAGTTCTACCTTTTCTTCACTGAAATTCTAGTCAGGTTTGAAGTGCCTTGAGCAACAAAGCAGAAGCTCTGGAAGAGGTCCCTGGGATGGAATCCCAATAGTAGTAAAGTGAACTAGCTCTGTGACCAGGAAGATATTCCTACCAGCATCATAGCAACTGCCTTACACTGGATTTCATTTGGTAAATGTCGCCTATGTGGTAGGGATCTGTAAATGGTACATGATTCCTTCAGTATGAACATTTTCACATAAAATAAAGATAGGGGAAGAAAGTAAGGACAATTATCTGTTACTTTTAGGTCCATCTCTCAGTGCAATTCACATAAAAGTCTTATCTGTCAGCACTGAAAATGTCAGATATGTCTTTTGGGGGAGGTCCTTCAATTTCTATCAGTTTTCACAAAAGCAATCATGCGCTGTTTCCATGTTTTCTATGCCCTGAGATTACTCCCACATACCACTTACAACTTTAATTGTCACTACTTTTTCTCCGTGGCTATCATCTTTACAGGCCAACTGATGTTATAGCCCTTAGCAGTGATACCTATCAAGTATTGTTAAGGGTTCAGTCCTCTGTACAGTAGATTATACTATCTCTCTAAATTGTTCAGTGTTTTCATGGCTTCCCCTCCACATGGCCAGTTCTTGGATTATAAGACCCCTCAACAAGGGGCCTAGCTTCATGAACAGATACACAGAACTCCTTATTAGCCATCACTTACTAATGTCATTGTCGTAGAAATGGACTAAGGCCATTTGCAATCGGGCCTAAATTTCTAAAATACCAGAAAGCTGCTTCAGGTTCATGGCATATAATTGAATAGTTTACTCATTTACATGAAGGATGTTTTAAATTTAATTATTAGCATGAAGCCCACTAGCCTCTGTTTTCTCTATATTGCACAGGTACTTTGAGCTCAGAAGTTGGTATTTCCCCCAGTGCTCTCTCTCTCTCTCTCACTTCTGTTCTAACTCAGCAAATCCTGGCATTATTGCTACTAAACGGTTGTTGGTGACCGACTTCTGAGCTTTTCACTCATTTCACATCTGTTCCCTTGTATGTAGTTTACTTTGTTGCTTTTTAAATTTTTTACTCTTTTCCGAGTGATACATTTCAGGGAAGGCATTGCATTCAACCCACACACAGAGATCCTGGAATGTGGGCTTTTGAACAGCTCTCTATCCTGATAGATAGTAGTCCATAAAAACTAAAATTTGGCAGTGGAAGGGAAGGAGAAGGGGAGGGAGGAATGGAAGGAGGATCTACGTGATCTACATGAGGAAAGGGAGGCAGATATTGAGATGGAAAGTGAATAAATAAATGTAATAAATATAAAATTAATATATACATATGTTAAAAATAAACTTACAACTTGTTCACTTATCTCTAGTTTTAACAATTACATCTGGTTTTGACCCATGTCTAGCTTTGCCAAAGCTATGAAAATACCTTTGTCTTCCTGTACAAAGAACAAGATCTATCTAATAAGAATTAGAAATTTATAGCATACTCATTCAGTGACTTGCTACTCATTATTAACAAAAATGAGGTATAAGAAAATAATCATTATCTAGAATACAACTCCTAGGCATGTGACCAAGTGAAAGAAATCAAGTATGAAAGAATAGTAAAGTTATTGCATTAATGAGAACTACTACTGGTTGGCAAAACTAAAATGTGGTAGAAGGGAGAATTCTGGTTCTTTCCTAGGAATCAAGTTAACCGTCACACACTCAAAAAGCAACTGTTCAGTGTAAAAGAGATATACTATACCTAGAACTTGACTGATGTTTGCATGTCATACACATTTCTCAAAAACCATTGAAGACCCTAGAGATTTTTTGCTGTGTACAATTCCCTCCTCCCCCTCCAAACCCTGCAGTGAACTGTCAGCAAAGAAGAAAGTAGGCAAGGTTAAGTGAATTATGGGGGAAAAAATAAAGAAACAATGAAGTCATGCATTCTCACCATAAAAATAAATGATACAGAATTAAAGGAAAATTACTAGGGTTTTTTCTCTTTTCACACGTTTTAAGTTTAATTTTCCTCTTTTTGAAAAATGTCCTTGTGAGCTTGTTTACCCACAGGCTCTTTGTTCTTCAAGCCCTGCTAAGTCATCCTTAAGAGAGGAAAATCTGGGATTAGAAGTAGAGATCTTGGCAGAAGGCCTCTATACAAGTTGTTTACACCAAAAGAATTCTTCCTACTAGCCAGATACATGTGAATGTGTTTGAGAGTGTCTGTGCATATCGGTGTGTCTGTATGTGTTTGTGAATCTGTATGTGTGAGAGGAAGAGGCAGTAATTGTGTATGTATCTGTCTCTCTGTCTCTGCTGCTCACTCCTCTGTGTGTGTGTGTGTGTGTGTGTGTGTGTGTGTGTGTGCATGTCTCTGTGTACATGTGTGCATACGTGTACATGTGCATGTGTGATCAGAACGCATTATGGATCTTGGGAACTAAGAAGGTTTGGTGATTTCTTTGGTAAACTGCATGAATGTGCCCTTTTTGGTGTATAGTCAAGTCCCAGTTACTCTGAAAATTGAAAAATATTTTTTACATTTTTCCCTATTTTTATAGCTTAAACTTTAGATTTAGATTTAAGATATGTATAAAATTATGTAGGATTAAGGATCATGTTTATACACTATGGCATTCTGAGTCATCTGTTTTTATTCTTCTATTTTTTCAGTGATGCTTTGGTTTTTCTATATTTTTAAAATATTGATAAAATTTTGATAAGTACTATGTAACCTGTTAGGGGAAAAATTCTTAATTTATCAATAGCAAATCTGCTAGCACATGAACACAGTTCCCATTTATTTAAATTTCTTCAAATACCTCTCTGAAATGTTTAGTAATTTCTAGTACAAAGGCCTTGAACATCCTTTATAAATTTCATTTCTAAGTCTTTTACCTTTCTACTACTATCACAAAGGAACTATCATTTTTAAACTTCATTCTCTAATTTTGTGATGTTATCTATAGAAATACAGCTGGCTGTTTTCTGGTGGCTTTGATGAATCCAATTATTTCCTATAATTATGTTGGAAATCTTTATAAATGTCCATGTAAACAGATAGAATTTTTCCTGCAAATAAATGTGTTTTCTTCTTCTCAACTTTGCTTATACTTGTGTTTCTTTCTCTCCTCTTGTGAATTTAGGAGAACCTCCAGTGTGCTGCTGTGTATGCGTGTACAAAGAGAACTGTCTCCCTTGTCCTGATCTTTACCATTATGATTGATATTAAATTGTTATAATTGCATTTAATTGAATTGGATAAGCACCTTTATTCTGTTTCTTGTTGGTTGGGGAGTTTTAATCATGAATAAATATGTGTTTCTATCAAAAAAATCTGCTTCTATAAAAGATGAGTAACTTTTTAGTGTTTTATTCTGTTAATGTGGTAAATTATGCCAATTGATGATTGTAAACTGAGCCCACTTTGTGTTGCTGGTATTCACTGCACTTGATACAATACAGTATGATTATTTTGAAGACCGTCATACACACATTTTTTAAATTATTATTCTTTAATCTTTTTTTTTATAGTCCAGTCATTTTCCCCCTCCTGGTCCACCCTCTAACAGTTCCTCATCCCATTCCTCCTCCCCCCATCTCCAAGAGGATATCCCCACCCCACCCCCACCCTGCCAGACCTCCCCACTCCATGGAGCTGATTCAAGTCTCTTGAGGGTTAGGTTCACTGAAGCCAGACCAGGCAGTCCCCTGCTCAAATGTATATTTTTAAGACACTGTTTTATATGTGCTGTGCTGGCTCAGTCTCACTAAGTGGATAAAGATGATCTCAAACGTCTAGAGTTCCTCCCTCCATGTTTTGAGCATTGTGAATACAGGTATATTCCACCATATAAGATTTATGTTGGGTTTTGAAGAAACTAGGTAAGTATTCTACAAGCGAGTCACAGCACCAATCCTATGTATGTTTGCAGTCTTGAGGGATGCCTTTCTTTCCTATATTTTGGTAGGTTTGGGTTCCAAGTTAAAACTGGCTTCACAGAATAACACAGATCATCTCTATTTGGGGAAGAAATTTGGTGGTATTGGCATTGTGTCTTTATTAACCACTTAATAGAACTCAGCATTCTGTAACTATTAAGCATGTAGTTTTAATTGTGAGGGTAAGTGTTAATATAAACGTGACTTACATTAAAATCTTCAGTTTGTATGGGGGTAAGTTTTAAAAATGCTTTCACTTCAAAAATGTATATTCACTCTCACAAATTGTTATATTTCCTATAATTTTAATATCTATGCAATATACAGATGTGTCCCCTCTGATATTTTAAGTATTGTTAACTTCTAATCTTATACCCATGGTGTCATAGAAGTTCTATGTAGATGGTGCTGGACTCAAATCCACAGCAAATACTCTCAAATGTTAGGAGTATAGTCATGATCCACCACACAGAACTTTGCTTCCTTTTCTTGACCTATCTTGTTGAGTTTCATTAGCCAAAGTCTCTACGACCCTGGCCATGGTGATCCATGCCTTCAGAACTATATGGGATTTCTGTGAGTTCAGGGCCAGTCTGGTCTATGTAATAAATTTGGGGCTATATACAAAGATTTCTGTCTCAAATAACAAAACAAAACAAAACACAAAGGCTCTATGAAAACACCTTAGTTTACTTGTTAAATATATGTAGTTATATATACAAACATTTTCAAGCAATTTTGCGTTTCCTTTAATCCTATTTGAAGTAATAGTATCAATATTTCTTACAGTTATAATAGTTTTCATTTGTCCCCAAAAGACATTGATTACTTTTTTTACCTAAACAAAGCCTTTGCTTCTTAATGATCAATTTTTAAACTACATAGATCTTGCACCTAGTTTCCACGAGCATGCTTTTACCACTTCAAACTCATTCACAAATAATAACTATAATAGAACAGAAAGCTATGTTGTTTTAATTTATTCTCTTTTTTCTCTCAGCATTATCTCACCTACTTGTATACCTACAATGTTATTTTTAATTTTATGCAGAAAATCCTACCTAAATAAGGATTTAAAATTTTTTGTTTCTACAGTGGTGCTCTTTTAGGCAAGGATTGTCCAACTCTTAGTAAGCTGCAAGACATATATTTTAAAAAACCCATAAAATTCTCATTGATTGGTAACAGCCGTATATGTGTGAAGCTTGGAAAAAAGGATTTGATCTGCAAAACTATGGATATAACCAAAATAGGTAAGAAGTTGTATATGATGGTATGGTTTCCGTGGTTTGGAGAGCTGCGGAAACATGTCTTTGCTTTCAGAATGATAAAAATATGCAGTTCATGAAAACACTTTGTAATAGACAATAGCAACTTTTCTAACTAATTTTTAAGAAATTAAAATTTGATGCTTGAATCATGAATTCCTACTGTGAGAAAATATGCTGAGAATATTCAAATTCAGCTAGGAAAGAGAGTGTTTGACATCAGTATGATGAATGTAACTGAAGCAGGCCATCTATCCCCTTACCACACAACTTTTCTGTTTTTCATTCACTTTCTCTGAAGGTCTTAAGGTCTTTTCTCTATATTCACATCATATCCCAAATATGTATAGTTCAATTAACAAATCATTTAAACAATATATTTTCCATATTTTTCAAAGTTCTACAAATGAAAGAGAACTATTTAGTGGGAGATAAATGGATGGATAGATAAGTGAATGATAAATATATGATAGGTAAGTAAATTGATGGATGATAAATAGCTGATAGATAGATAGATAGATAGATAGATAGATAGATAGATAGATAGATATGATATAGTTACAGATGATAGGTAGGTAGATAGATAGATAGATAGATAATGATACAGTTATAGATAGATAGATAGATAGATAGATAGATAGATAGATAGATAGAGATATGATATAGTTACAGATGATAGATAGATAGATAGATAGATAGATAGATAGATAGATAGATATGATATAGTTACAGATGGTAGGTAGGTAGATAGATAGATAGATAGATAAATAGATAATGATACAGTTCAGATAGATAGATAGATAGATAAATAGATAGATAGATAGAGATATGATATAGTTACAGATGATAGATAGATAGATAGATAGATAGATAGATAGATAGATAGATAGATGGGAGACAGATTAATTTTAAGAAGTAGTCCATAAGATTGGGACAGTGGTGAGTTTAAAATCTTTAGGATTAGATAGAGGGTATAAATGAAGGTTAAGTGTGGATGTTGCAGAATTGAGTCCACGTTCTTAAGGCAGGAAACAAGAATATACTAAATTCTTGAATCAGACTTGTTTCTGAAAGGAATTTCTACCTTTGAACTAAAGATGTTTTTACTGATCAGACAATGCCTACTGATTAGGAAGGTGTCATCCAAGTCTACTCACTTACGTTTTAATCATACCTTTAAAATACCATAAGATTGATATTTAACTTTTAAAATGTAAAATGTAAATAGCCTAGTCATTATGACTATAATATAATTATATTTCCAAGAAGATTAAGTGTGGCGTGAAACATAGCCAAATTGATTTGACCTAGAATACACATAATTATATTTTGTTAAGCATAAATAGTAAAAGCAATTATGTTTTATGTTAAATTATAATTTGAATTAGTGCAACGGCATGTTAACTATTTGTATTTTTCTGCTTTGGGTAATTTACAAATGAAATATTATATGGGAAAGCACTCAGAATAATCACATAAATGCAAGTTTTGCTGGTTTTAAAGGCTATGACACACACACACTTCTCAATGTCTCTTCCACTGCTTTAAAAGAAAACAGAACTATTCTTACTGGATATGAGATACAGTGGGAAAGTTACCTCGGTTGTTTAATGATGATGATAAATAATAAAAATAGAAGTCCTATGTCTAAACAATATCTTAGGGAAAGAGCAGAAGTTACTGAAATGAAGTATTCACCACATAGCTGTACATGCTGACCACACCATAACAGCATGAGCTAGCTTGGTACGAATGGCAGAGGAGGCAAGAATTCCAGTGGAAGAGATCTTTGAGTTTTGAGCATGAGCACGGTGCTGTTCACTCCTTTGGAGATGATGTTTTCTATGGATCAGTGCTGAATTCGTACACTGTGCAAAGGCACCATATTTAAAGGTTCATCATTCATACTGCAGAGATATTTCTCTTGGAGAGTGAGCAGAGTGGGTACCAATTCTTGATTCTCTAAGAAAACAATGTAACATCAGGGGAACATCTGTTCTCTTTCTGGTGTTAGCTCATCTAAGCACACAAAGTTCTGCAGTCCTGGGAACATGTAGAGCACACCCACAGGATCCGGAGATACCTGTCCTATTCATGGTCCCAGCTCCAAAATACCTAGTGCTCATGGAGTACCCTGTGGCATCTTCCACAATAGACTTCAAGACTAACCTCTTATGTGAGGGGCAATGAGGGGAGCACATCTCACTGAGGAAAGGGTAGTATGGGTCTCAGGGGGCCTGGAAATTACCTGCACCCTGAGCAAATAGGATCAATATAATAATAATAATTCTCATAGGATTATTTCCTCCTAGTTCCTCAGGAGACATCTCATTTGCTGAATTATCATTTCCACAATTTAAAACTAAATGTTCCTGATTGATACCTAGAACCAGAATCCTAGTCATCTGCAACTTTCTCTCCTACTTCCCTTTCCTTGGGGACCCTAGCCTCTAAGGCTAGAGGCCCAGTTTCCTAACCTCCTACCTTGTTTCAGTCACATTGATAACACTGTCTCAGGCCAAAGCTGGACATAACAGCCTGATACAGATGTTTTCCTAGAAAATCAATACTTTTCTCTGGGTTTGTACTGAATGACATGATACCTTTTTCCTTCCAGTAGTATATCTTACATGCATCTTTAGAATTGTTTTCTAAACAGAAACTCATGAGGCAGGCAGAGGCCTATGAAGCAAATAGATTAATTTAGTTAAAATTGACAGAAAAGAAAGTCTGGAGGCCACTCTGGAATTTGTTAGCCAGGGCCAGGATAAAGACTCCGCACTTGTTTGTATCCAAGGTGAGGTCCAGAGGTCCTAGATATATCCTTGGAATTTTTTTACTTTGCAGCCCATCAGTAACATTCTGATATACATAGGTGATAGTATTTATTTTATTACCGTTTAGGACTTCCTCCACACTGTGACCCAATTTTCTTTCCCAGAGGCCTTCAGTATACAGAAAGAGACCAAGATGAGAGTTATACATGAGAGGATTTGGGGACCAAGACTGGAACTGGTACAGTTCCACCTACTCACAACTCTCAGCCACAGGAATGGTGTGGCAATGCTGTCTGGATGTGAATCAAGGAGAAAGAAGATTTGTCTTTGTGAATAATCAGCTCCTAAAATAAAAGGCTTTGGGATGAGTTTTAGAGCAGAAGGGTTTTAAATCATGTAGTTATCAACAATTAATGAAAAAGAGGTTATGAATTTGAAAGAGGGCAAGGAGCGAATGTGAGAGTGGGAGTTTGAAGAGAGGCTAAGAAATGGGAAAATGATGCAATTACATAATTTTTAAATGTACGTATGTCTTTTAGTTCCATACACATATTTCATTTCTTTTCTTTTCTTTTTTTAATTTTTTTTTTTAACAGTTAAAGCTGAGGCTCCTTCTGACCTGGAAGTAGTTTATCGAAAAGAAGCAAATGACTTTTTGGTGACATTTAATACACCTCACTCGAAAAAGAAATATGTAAAAAAATTAAAGCATGATGTGGCCTACCGCCCAGAAAGGGCTGAAAGTAACTGGACGGTAATGTAGATCGAACACGTTCATAAAATAAATATCATCTTGCTCTGTTTTCAGAAGTTAGTCTTCACTCAAAGACCCCACAATGCCTGCATCTTTCTCAGTTCCTCTTCATTAAACTTGCTTTAGTTCATCATTAGGGTTTGAACTTAGATAAGAATGCGTGCTTAGACATACCTGATCCTCGCTATACAAAGCCTCCAGGGGTGTGTATGAGATAATCAGGAAGAATAATGGCTCTGCATAGCTTAACCAAGAACAAGCCATGATTTTTTTTTTTCCCTAGGACTTTTGGGGGCAGCAGGAGGTCAGCAGAAGAAAGGGTAGAAAGTTTTCTCTGTCATTTTGTTTTTACATTAATGCCTAAGGCGTCAGTTGCAGAAGGAACAAATTGTTTTTCTGCTCTTCATTTTCTAGATGTTAAGTCATCCTCATCACCGTCTGCTGAGGTTAAAATGATCTTGCTAGGCTTACCATCTATTTGGGAGATGAGCTGAGAGAGAAACAGAGGATTCTGGGCAGTTGGGATTCTCTTAATCTGACAGATCAAGCTCAGCCATCCCTATTTAAAATAGATAAATAAATAATGGCTTCTCTTTCTCAAGAGCAAAAGAATGCTCACATCTGCCTGATGCACCCTTTACTCAAGTTAGTCATAGGTATTACTTTGCAGTGTGCTGAGGCATGCTATTTACAGATATGCATTTCTATCCAACCCATCTGATGGCTTCCTGGACCTACTCCACACCCACAAACTGGATGACCTTCATCCTACCTTCTCCCATTAATCTTCTGACTACGAAACCAGTGGAAAAGCAACATTAGAAGAAGAAAGAAGGGTTATGAATAGATGATTCTAAGGCAATCAGCTTACTGTCTGTTAAGAAAAAAGTAAATTAAAATGTTTAAACTCTACAGGAGTCTTATTTATGTCAATACACACAAATATAATTTTAAGTCAAATAAAAAATGAGTATTAAATTACCACAGAACTGCTAACAGATGGTCTGTCTACATAAAATCATTAGTTCATCATTAAGATAGAGACAAGCATTGCAACAGGTGAATGAGCAGAAAACTTAGAAAACTGTCACAAATAAGAAATATATAAGTTCATAGAGCATTCAAATAAGTATAAATAACAATGGAATACTACTTTTGTCTGTAAAATCAATATAACATCTTTTCCTTAAAAACAATACAGTGTTGGAAAAATCATACCTTTATTATTCTGTGTGGTGTCAAATGTTATTATTCTTGAAGGAAATGACTAGTGTTCACTGCCTACCCTTTGTTTCCCTTTGGTACATGGAAAAGATAGGAAGAAAAAGGAGGTACTGGAACAGAAGCTATAGCTGTGAGCCTAGGAGTATACCCTCCAAAGTGAGAGACAGTAATTCAGCCGAGGGCAGATCCATACCATCAGTGTTCTCTGACCTCACCTGATATCTTTTAGAGCCTGCCCCTCCTTCTGCCACTAAACCTTTGCAGAGTTCTGTTCCTTCATTTAAAGAATATGAAAGAACTTCCAGAGACTACCAACATGACTGAAAGAGTTAGTGTTAGAATTGAAATACCTAGTCAACATGTCTTTTTACTTCTAATAATGTAACCTGTCTTTTCACCCTAGCATGTATATTTATCCCATACAAGAACAACAATCCTAGTGAGAAAACTACAACCAAAAGCAGTGTATGAAATCAAAGTCCGATCCATTCCCCATCACGAATACTTCCAAGGCTTCTGGAGTGAGTGGAGTCCAAGCTCTACCTTTGAAACTCCAGAACCCAAGAATCAAGGTAGGGGCAAAGGAAGTAAAGCCCTGGGCCTTCCACAAGACTTCATATTCTGAAGTGTAGCAGAGAGAGGGAGCAGAAGATCAGTGTAAGAAACCCACAGGTCAGGACACGGGGAGCCCTCTTCTTTCTCTGGAGTATTTCCTGCCTGACTCCTTCACCATTTTTATGAGATGAGAGTGGTGGGAGCTGAGCCATAGTGCCTGAAAATGGATACAGATTGTCTTGATGCCATGGTCTCAGGTACTCAGGGATCCACTAATGAATCTGCATGAACTTATTACACACTACCTTTTCCACCTTCATCAGGAGTCATGGCTGATCTCTCTGTGATCCCTCTAGCTAATAAATATCTTTGCTAATAGAAAGGGAACAGGTCAGTTTGACTCTCTATTACATCTCCTTTCCCAGAACAATAAAGATGCTATGGGGAATACCAATAGCCTGAGAAGCCAGAGAGCATGCTCCAGGACAGTGCCCAAAGCAACTTACCTAAAACTTCTTCTATTGGAGGGGGATGGAGGTTTCCCCTGCTGTACCAGCTTCACACTCTCATTGTGGAACTTGCTGCAGCTTCAGGGTGGACATTTATCTCTTCAACTCTTATTTAGACTTTTTTCCCCTTTGGGTATGTGTAATTGGATAGAGGTTTTTAGGCTATCATGAAAGGTCATCTTTACATTTCAAGTAGCTGATGTTCTTGCCATGGTCACTGAGATCAACACTACTCTTCCTGTCTATTAAAGAACTGTCTCTAAGAAACAGTAAGTGAGACTGTGTTATTATGTAAAATCAAACCACCCAAAATATATACCCCTACTTTACGCTTACTGAATACTCACCATGGTCTCTCCTTATATTCCAGGGGGATGGGATCCTGTTTTGCCAAGTATCATCATTCTGAGTTTGTTCTCTATGGTTTTGTTGGTCATCTTAGCCCATGTGTTATGGAAAAAAAGGTGATTTTCTTTAATAATTAATCTCCCTCAAATAAGGAGAAAGAGATGTTTGTGTGCCTTCTCCTTCTGCCATTTAATTTATGTATGAATGTTCTCTGGCTTTAGGATTAAACCTGTTGTATGGCCTAGTCTTCCTGATCATAAGAAAACTCTGGAACAACTATGTAAGAAGCCAAAAAAGGTAATTGCTTAAGAGAGAAACACCATCATGTTGAAATCTTAGTCTAAGAGCAAATAAGACAAGGGGAAACTGACACTCAGCTTTTGGTCTTTCATGTATCGCATAAATGAGACTCCTTATAAAACCCTAAGGAATAAAACCAAGATACACAGGGCAGGGGTTGGGGAAAAAATTAATGTTTATTTCAAACCTGGAGTACCATAGCTCATTCAGAAGTGAAGCCAACTGAAGACCAAAGCAGGTCATTTTCTCACATTGTGCAGTATATTTTGTGAGAAAGTTTCTTAGACTTTTTTTTCCTGAGTCAAATGTACAGTAGTGCCTTTTTCCAGTGCCACTAATGCTTCTGCCTTTCTCTCCAGAATCTGAATGTGAGTTTCAACCCTGAAAGTTTCCTGGACTGCCAGATTCATGAGGTGAATGGAATTCAAGCCAGAGATGAAGTGGAAAGTTTTCTGCAAAATTATCTTCCTCCACAACCTGAGGAAGTCGAGAAGCAGGGACACAGAGGAGCTGTACACAGTGCAAACTGGCCATCTGAGACTTCAGTCAGCCCACCAGAAACATGCAGAAGAGAGTCACCCCTAAGATGCCTGGCTAGAAATCTGAGTACATGCAATACCCCTACATTCCTTTCCTCTAGGTCCCCTGACTACAGAGATAGTGAAGAGAATAGGCCTCATGTGTATCAAGACTTGTTTCCAAGCTCTGGAAACACAAATGCCACTGTCCCTCAACCATTTCCTCTCCAATCGGGACTCCTGATACCAGTTTCTCAGAGGCAGCCCATCTCCACTTCCTCAGTACTGAATCAAGAAGAAGCATATGTCACTATGTCTAGTTTTTACCAAAACAAATGAATTATAAGACACCTAAGACCCCTCCCATCGAAAACCAAATGATCACTGAGATGGAAAGTCTGGAAGCTTCTTCTCCCTCATAGCTCACAGAAGAGAAAGGCAACGTGACCTTGCTACACATCTTCAGCCTTCCCAGAAATCATTTTGATCTCCTAGCTCAGAAGCATTTACACAAAGCAGAAAATTTCCCCCTTGTTGGATTAGTCATAAGAGTCCAGATGACCCAATTAAAATTGCAAAACTCAATTAAATGAAAAGCAAAGGGCAAGATAGAAGGAGGTAATGAATGCAGGAAGACGAAAAGGAAAGATGTGAGTGGTGGGTTTATCACAAGGATTTAATATATATCCAGCAGTACACAACTGCCCTCACTTCTTCCTCACAATACTACAATGTGGGTTCATTCATTATAATTGTTATTTTCTTTGTCACAGATGCTGAAGTTGAAAGTAGAGATTTTTAAATAGTGTCTAAGTTTTTCTTCCAGCAAATAGATGAGGCATCCATTCCAACTTCAATCCTCCCTTGCCATGAACTTGTCTTACTGTTGAATGTCAAACATCACCACTAAGTGGATGGTTACATCGTTATTCTCCAAACTGGTTCGATTTGGAAAGGGAAAGTGAGAAATAATTAACAGTAAGCATAAACTGTATCTGTCTCAGAGAGATGTGGATGCATGGTCATTTTACTTGACGTAGCTATGAGGATGAACATAGAAAACGAAATACACTTATGGGTGTGATACCATGACTGTGTATCAAAGGAAGTGGGAGAAAGCAAAAAGACACCAAGCTCATTTGATTTTGTTTTATGGTTTTGTTTGAAAACAAACTCAAGAAACAATAAGTTACAAGCCAAGAAGTTCACGCATCAGTTATCAAGACCATGATCTTCCTGCTGCTATTATCCATTGGCTTCCATGTGAGGTCGTAGGAGGAGCTACGGCCAACCTACAGCAGTTCAACATTTAACAGTGAGTGGAGAAATAGTTGTCTGATATGTGGAGACACCATTACGAATTACTCCAAGTTCTACAGCCTCAGATAGTGCCTGAAATATAGGAAGAAGGGGCTTTGCACACCTCAGTGAGTAGCCCAGCTGAAACTATGCTCACAGAAACACAAAGAAGATAGGTAAGTTGCTTAAGTTCAAATGTTGATTCACAACTGCAAGCCACAATTTTGAATCCCTGCTGCTTATGGCCAGTCTCCTGAAGAAAACAACAAATAACTGAAAGACATCATGATTGGGTGACTTAGCATTAAAATTCTGTTTCAGTGTTGACATTGGTTGTTTGAATTGGTGTGTTTGTCCAGTAATGTATTATATCCATGCATTATATTCAGATAACCACAACTGCTGCTAATGCTTGATTATATACTCAGGAACTGCGTGCAATGTAACATTACTGGTTCTGTCTGGCAATTTTCCTCTTGGTATTTACAAAGGAAAACCAAAACTCTTGGCCAGAGACAATATGCAAAACAGAGATGTCAAAGTACTATGTCCAAGTAATGAGAAATAGATAACAAATTTATCAATCAACTATGTCTGGATCCAGGGAATCTCTAGTTATTCAATTTATTTTCTGTAAACCATTGTCTCTCTCTTCATCCAGGCTGCCATGGAAATGTTTGCCTTCAAATACAAGAATGGGCTATTTTCTGGAATTTATACAGCGCTGGTCATTTGTGTGTGTGTGTGTAAGCTCAGCAGTTTTTCTCTGGCGTTCTTTAATATACCCACCATCCACTACAGTAAAGGTCTCTGGGTTGACTGTATACTCTTTTAAATGAATTAATAGAATTCTGTAGATCTGTTACATAGACAAATGTACGGTGTGCATTGTCATTTCACAATTAAATAAATGCTAAGGAATTTTATGGCTGTAATGTACTCTGTGACTGTGACAACTAACATGTAAATGGGCTCTACAGTTCAACACAGACTTTTTTTTAGCTGCTGAAAACATTCTTACATCATTTAATGTGATAACATTTTCAGAGAGATATTTTTTACTTAATTCAACAATGAACTAATAGCCTATTGAGAAGCCATGCTGCCTTACTTTTACACTATGCTGGCCATTAAACAATGGAACTTGGCACTCCAAGCTCAGTTATATGGAAAAAAGAACAGGCTAGTATTAAAATACCACACTTAAGTTTTATGCCAAATGTCAGTCAAGATTCTTAGCATTTAGCAAAAAAAAGTGCGTTTTAAGCAGAAAGAGAGTTTCCTAAAAATATTAGATGGTTCACAGAACAGCTGGAAGAGTGAAGGGCTCTTCAAACCACAATGTCTTCTTGTATCTCTGAGAAGTCTTGCAAACCACAGTGTCTTCTTGTATCTCTGAGACTGACAAGTCCAGAAACTGAAAATGGTTACCTTCACTTGGGTCATCTGTTCCTGAGAAGTCTCAGCAATGACACCCAGTGACTTCACAGCACAGATTGCTGGAGTATGACAGAGATACAGCCCGTGCATGACAGCAGCAAGCTTTGCCCTTGTGTGGGACATAAGGGTAGATAAGAGAACCCCTGGTGTTTACACATACAGTAAGAGGCAGGCATTACTAAGGGGTGGGGGTGGGGGAATCCCTACCATACAATGAAGATTCCACTGCTAGGGCAGAAGAAAAGACAAACAAAACCAGGTAAAGAGGATGAAGAGATAACTCAGCAACTACGAACTCTGGCTGCTATTCAGTTTCAGAGGATCCAAGTTCAGTTCCCAGTATCCCTATAGTGATTCAGCACTGTCTGTAACTTCTTTTTGCAGGAATCCAACGTCCTATTCTGGCCTCCCTGAGCACTAGGCATGAATGTGATACACAGATGTAAATGCAAACAAAACAACCACACACAGAAAACATAATGATTTTTAAAATGTTAAAAAAAATAGGTAAATATATGGAAGAAGATACAACAAAAGCAAAGCGAAGGTCACATTTCCTATGGTAGCGCAAAGCACTGGAGTGGGCCACGTAGCTGAGCCTAGAGATGACATGGGGCTTTTCTCAACATAGGAAAAGTATAGTGATCCATGAAGTCCTGAGAAAAAGCCTTCAGAGGAATGGACATGGAGAGCAACTCCCACAGTCATCACTGACTCAGCATCAGTATCTTCAGAAAGCAAGAGAAATCACATTTTCATAAAAGTAACACAATTCATCTAGAACATTTACTTTAAGAATATCTGTATACTCTGTATTACGTTGGACAATTCTGGCTGCTTAAACAAAGCACTGTGGTACAAGTAACTTACAAACAACAGAAAGTCATTTCTCTCAACTGTCATGGGGTACTGAGGAACGCTCTGGATCAAAGAGCACTGAGTTCTCACTGTGACTTACATCTTGGAAGGTGCTCCCAAGGACCTTTGGACCGATTTTACAAGGTCCTACCTTGGAGTAGAAGGCACAATTTCAATATGAATTGTGAGGATACCAATATTCAGACTACAGAACATTACAAGGTCATTCTTCCTAGGGTATGGTCATAATTTCATCAATAAACTGAATAACAAATGACTCTCTTTAACTTTTTATTTCTTTGAAATGAGAAACGATTTCATGATAATTGAAGATACATCTTTAAAAGCATTTATTTGCCACCCTTAGAATTTCTGCCAACATTCTGCCACTCAATTTTTTTAGCAATATTCTTAGATTGTAGAGTTATCATTTCCTCAGAATTTTCAAGGTCATTCTTTTAGATCAAGAGCTGCCTTTGGCTGCATATTCATAATTCATTAGCTCACTAACTATAATTATAACAAGTTCTACTGCCTTAAATGAGTTGGCGACGTCTTTACCTATCTTCTCTGAGCATACATGTGATTTAGTACAAGCAGTTGTCCAGGGTGTACTCACATCCTCGTCTTAATGGAGATGCCAATGTATTTAAAACAAGATGGATAGGAACTGTTCACTTAGTGAGTGGTGTGGTGAATCATGTCTACGAGTTATTACTTGCCTAAGATCAAGTATTCCAGAGAGTCTAAAGAGTTGTGACTAGGGAGGAAATGACAGAGCTGATAGCGGTCAACAATTCAGCATACAACTTGAATGTTATTATCCATCCTAGAGGGGCTGGGTATGCTTGCAAAGATGTGCGGCTTTAAAAACTTCAAGTGGTCCATCATCTCCCACTGAGGCCAGACAAGGCAGTCATGGTTACTGAGCTTCATGTCCCTACAGATGTGCTGGGAGCCTTGTTTCACTCCATGTATCTTCTTTAGTTGGGGGTATAGGGGGAAGGACTCTGTGAGGGAAGGACCAAGAAGTGGAGCAGCACTTAGGATGGATGGAGAGAGAGAGACAGAGACAGAGACAGAGAGACAGAAAGAGACAGAGAGAGACAGAGAGAGACAGAGAGAGACAGAGAGAGAGACACACACAGAGAGACAGAGAGACAGAGAGAGACAGAGAGAGACAGAGAGAGACAGAGAGAGACAAACAAAGAGAGGTGAAAGACAGAACTTCATGTGGGAGCTGGAGAGATGGCTCAGCATTTAAGAACTTACTGTTCTTGCAGAAGAACTCAGTTTAGTTTTCTGCACCCACATGGCAGCTAAAAATTGCCTATAATTTCAGTTCTAAGGCATGTGTTGTTCTCTTCTTGTCTCCTGGGGTTCCTTCCTGCACATAGTACACATAAGCTCACACAGGCACACACACACACACACACACACACACACACACACACCAAGTAAATCATTGTTTCCACTAAAAGTATTTAATAATAATTTGGGAACCCAAATTGATACTCTATAAATTATCATTTTCATGATGACGATACCATTTTTTGCTTGCTCTTATGAGGGGATTCTGCCTCCCTACATCATCTGGACATCTAAGTGTATCTGAAAAACAAGTGAAAACTCAACTTCTAGAATACAAGTTTCTGTATGGAGGCTTCCTTCTGACCCAGACTTAGTTAGTGGGATACAAATTAGACATTGCAAAGATCTATATTAAATATAAAATTGTCCACATCTGATAATTTTTAACTATAACAACTAAAGGTAAAATTCAACAAGGATCTAGAAAGAATTAACACACATACAAACACAAACTCATATATACACCTATCATAATAGCAAAGGATTAACAATCACATGAGATCCAGAAAGATCTGAAGTCATGGAGACTGTGGCAGCATGCATGGGGCTGGCACAGATGAAATCTGGATATTCCAGTGGTCAAAACTAAATTTTCCTTTGCAAAAGGGTGTCATCTGCAGACAAGTAAGTCTTTTAAACATATATTTTGAACCCTTCAGGTACAAGTGTGTATTGGATTTCATGGATGGAAACATAAAACACTTTTAACATTTTCCTGCCATTTTTCTCAGAGGCAGCCTATTGAACTCTATTTGATTGACTCAACGTTTTTGGTCCAGTTACAGGCTCTCATGCTTTGACTTACATAAAATGATTTCTGATTCTTAATAATGCTAGGGTTCCAAAGTATCAGGCACATTTTCTTTGCCCCCCACAATTCTTTCAATATTTATGTGACTTCTGCACCCTAGCCCCTATGGAATTTTCTTACAAAGACATTACCATGTCAAAAACAATATCCTTTTCCATGTCTCTTTTCCATGCCTTTATTTCCTCCATATCTCCTTTTGTAGTACTAATTACCTTTTCCCTTCATTGATTTCTGGCAATTCTCTTCAATTTTAAAATTCAGCTTCTGGTTAACATCTGCTGTCCATTCTACTCTTAGGTGTTTAATGAATACTAACTCATGCAAGTGATGAAGAGGTTGACCAAGGAGAGGAAATTGACACAAAGACCTATTTGATATCTTGGCCTTAGGTTCATCTTAGACATGGTTATAGTTCTGCCTGGGTAGACAGAGAGGTTCTTCCTGCCTTGTTTCTCATATGACATGCTCCACACAATCACAGAAGAAATCTGACCAAGTCGTGTCCCAGGGAAAACCTTTTGATGGCTTCCAAGCAAGGTATCGAAGGCTCTAGGGGATCTAATATACTCATTTCTTATGGCTACTGCTGCAAATGATCACCCTACTTAGATGGTTAAAACAAAAAAATGTATTCTCCTATGTATCCAGGGGTCAGGTATCCAAAACAAATCATGGATGGGTAAAGATCCAAGTGTTCACTGGACTGCGTTGTTTTGGAATCTCTAAAGTATTCATTTCTTGCTTTTCTCACTATTTATACAAATAGTATTTTCTAGAATCTAGAGTCCAGACCATCCCTCTATCATGAAAATGGATCATTGCAACCCCTGTTTTCCTTATCATAACATCTTCTTTGGATGTCATCCTCTTCCTTTCCCATAATAAGAACTGATGTGATTATGTTAAACTTACTCAGATGAGAATAATCTCTCCATTTCAATATGTTCACTGTAATCACACCTATAGAGCTTGTTTACCCTGTGTACATGCTCTTGTAATCAGAATATGTCCATCTTCAGAAGCCTACTGTATAAAGTGCATTGTCTAAGTTCTGGTCTATCTTCATTTCCATTACATCTCAGATACTATCTTCTCTACAAGGGTGTAGCCTGATAGGTCAGGATTTGGCTGATCTATAAACCCCTATACCACGTTATGCTTATTGCTGTCGGTATCACACCAATTGGGGATTAATGTCGTATTAGTCAACTTGTTTCTTCATCACTGTTCTAAATAAAAAGATGAGCTGAACTGCTCACAAAGAGCTGGCCCCAGATCCCTGCAAAGTACGGCATCTGGGCAGCCACGTGCAAGGAGTCAGTTGACTTCCCCATCCACATTTCCCTCCCCAGCTGTGCTCTTAACCACTGTGACCACAAAAGTGGGCAAATCATAGAGTGAGAGGGGTAAGAATTTTCCTAGCTTCACTTCTCTGATAATTATCTA